GTCATGAGCTGTTTCCTAGTCCTTCGGCCTCAGGACCTTTGCAGATACTCTGAGCCAATCCTTCTCACCTTGTCATTCTGCTTTTCCTGCACAACTTAGCTGTCTGGACTCGGAGGAAGGAGGTCGTTTCTGGGTGATCTTGGAAGGAAATGAAAGTATAATCTTTTAAATGTATGAAACCACCATTCTGAGACAAATATTTTTTTAATGGGCCAACTATTTTACTTGGCTCATCAATTCATTGAGAGGGATGGACTCAAAGGACAACATGGAATCAAGACCTTTTGGGCAGCCAGGAGGTGAAGGACTTGGCTGTAGACACCCAGCGTAGTACTCACAGGAAGTAGTTAAGAAGCTAAGGACCTCACCACAGATGCCCAGTGTAGATGTCCACAGGAGGAAACCAGGCATCTAAGAGATGTCACTGCAGACACCCAATGAAGATGTTCACAGGACAAATAATTGCCTCTCCCCAGGTAAGAATCCTAGGCAGTTTCACTCTCTATTGTTCATGAAAAGGAACAGCTCAGAGTAATCTGGGATTCATAGAGGCTTGGATGTGCATGCTGGATAAGCAGCCTCTGAAGGACATCTAAAGAGTTCTATCTCCATTTCAAAGCTAAACTTTCTCCTGATATACTTAAATGGCCCCCACCCCCCCACCCCACCCCCCGCTTGGGACATCTCTTACTGTGGCCATCGATTCTGGTGAGCCCATTGTCACCCTAGCCCATTGAGACCCTAGCGAGACTCTAGGAGGGAAGGGACTTGTGCTGCTCCCTGTGACATTTTCAGGCTAACACATGATGGTGATAAGGACAGGTTCAAGTGGCCACGTCTCACACTCCACAGCAGCATTTGTTTCCTCTGGCTGAGGGAAGGGAGAGGTGCTGTTGCCTCCGGGTCTCCAAGGAAGAAGCTGAAACCCAAGTACCACCAAGTTCTTCATGGTGGCAATATTTGTGCAGCTAGGAGGTGAGGGGAGATCTCACTGCCCCTCAGGTTCCTCTGCAGGCAAGTTAACAAGGGAAAGACTACAGGGATGAGTGAGTGGCGGTCATCCCCAGAGGAGGTCACACAGCTAGCATCTCTGCAGCAGTGGGACAGTGTGAGAGAAGGGCCTCGGGTATGTGAGCTGTGACTAGCCCTATGGAGAGTTAACAGTTTCCTCGCCTGTTGTATTGGATAAGGCACTGGTGATGAATTTCCCGCTGTCCTGTGACAGGGTTCAGGCTTCTCAGGAGATTTACTGGAGGGAGCAGTTAACCTGCAGATCAGGGCAGTGTAAAAGAGGCCTCATTGGAAAAACCACAAAGGGCCATTCAGCTAGGTTCTGCATCAGCCAGTATTCTGTTTGCTGCGAGAGAAAAGCTGATAGAAGCAGCTTTGGCTCATGGTTTAAGGATGCAACCCCGTCACACAAAGGAAATATAGTAACTGCAAGAGTCACAGCTATGGCAGCAGGAAGCAGCTTGCTCACATCTCAGTGGGTCAGAGCTTGGCTGCCTTTTCTTAGGACCCCTGTTCATGGACGGGTCTTCCTCCTTTACCTAAATCCTCTCAGCTAGCTTCTGTCTCCGAGGTGATCCCCAAATCTAGGCAAACTGACAACAAAGAACAGCCGTCACTCATCCATCACAAGGTCAAGGGCCAATTCCACCATCTTGGTGTATTTTCTGCAACTAGAGTAGAAATCCCAAGGCTGAATGGTCATAGAGACAGAGGCTTATTTGGCTTGGGGTTCTGGCAGCTAGAACTCCAAGAGCTGGTCCAGCTTCCAGCAAGGAGCCCATGCTGCTTCAGCCTCTGGCAGGCAGCAGGGCAGGCGGCTTGCACCTGAGACAGAGCAGGAGGCTGGTGGCCACTTCCCAGCAGCTGCCCTCACAGGTGTGAACTCAGTTCTTAGCAGAGCTCACTTTGTTGAGAAAGGCCTCAACCACCCCTGAGGGGTCCATCCCAGGATCTTAATATACCACAACCTGGGGCCAGGCTTTCCCAGGATCTTAACAGAGAAAACACTCTTAAATCATAGCACTGCTAAACCACTTTGCAGGATTCCCACTGATGCAAAGCCAAGGGCCCCTCGCTGCTGTCTTCCCGCCCTTGAGAATGCCCTCAGAATTGGTCCTGCTGAGCCCCATGCTGTGGGCCACCCTGCCACCCCACAGGCAGCATGTATCTCTGCCCTCCCATGTGGTCTCTAGGGTCAGAACTGAGGCAAGAGTCAGTCCACAAGCCTGAACCTTACTTTGCCCATTTAGATGCCTAAGCAGGCTACCCAGAGGGAGGTGCACACAGCGTCCAGGGTGAGGGCAGCCTTCCGAGAAGATGGGTCACTCATATTTGCATTAACAGCAGAGTCCCACAGCTGCACAGGCCTCACTGCCTCACTGCTGTCGTTTCTAATGTGTCTCTGCACTCGGGCATCCTGATATTCCCAAGTGTCTCCAAAGCATATCAAGCAGCAGTTTTCTTGGGGGGAAGGACAGACCCATGTCCAGCTCTTACAGGCAGCCCCCTCCCAACTGGAAGCCCTGTCACCAGTTCCCCTCCTAGAAGGGCCTCTTTATCTGCTCCAAGGTTTTATCCTGCGTAACATCTCTGTCTGTGGCCAAGGGGTAGAAGGTCTCACTCATCCCCACATAAGGGGAGAGACAGCAAAATGAAAGTGATTGTGTAACCCTAGTGGAAAGAACGGCTTTGGCTTCATGAAGTCCCAGCAGAAACACTAGAGTTATTCAGACTCTAGCTCTGTTAATGTCTGGAGCAGGAAGGGGCTGGCTAGAAGGGGCAAGAGTGGGGAGTCCACAGACCCTGTGTAAGTACCCCAGCATCAATCACCTCAAAGGGTGGACAGCCTCTCCTGGTCCCATCTACATAGGCAGCCCCTGGAGTGAGCCCTTTGGCCTCAAAATAGCGGAGACTGTGGAAACGAGAAAAGCTCGGGTCCTGGAGGCTTGTGGCTCAGGCTGGACTCAGGCCAGTAGTGGGCTGCGCTCCCCAACAGCCTGAACTGGACTGATATCTATGTGCAGGCTCCTCCTTCTATGTGAGGAGGGAGGAGAGCCCCTTTGGAAAGAGGAGGGTCTGGGATATTCTTCCTCAGTCTTTCCAGGGGAACTAGACCAGGGAACTGCAGGCTCACCCTGATGTGTTGACAGCCCACAGGTCAAGAGAACAGACACGCCAACCTTCTGGGATCTCCGGGCCTGGCCAGGCATCAAGTAGGGAACGCAGCCAGTCGGGTCTGAGCCCTGACATTCCAGCCAGTTTCTTAAGGTCACCATTCTGGGGGGATGTGGGGAGCAACACCAGGGGAGGGGGGGTGGAGGGACACATGGACTCCTTCTGTGGACATGCTGTACAGTGGAGATGAAGCAGAGCCGAGAAGGCTTAACACATCCATGCTCCTGGGAGCCCCTGCGTCTAGGCTCTGGAGAGGCTCCCCATCTTACCCAGGTCTTGTTCAGGAGGCCCTGCTGCTGTAAAATTGGGTTTGGACTGTAAAGTCTCACACACTTACCACCCCTGGAAAGTCACACAGTTAATCTGCACAGATATGTAATGGTTATCTAGGGGACAGGCAGAGGTGGGGGGTGGACTCAGGCACAGAGAGACTGTTTTAGGATGTCTGTGTGTGTTTACATGTGTATGTTGTACTGTGTGCTCACTAATGTGCATGCTCACTTGCCAGTACATGTGGGCACTCAAATGTATGGGTGTTTACATATATGCATACATTTCTGGGACACGTGTGACTGCTGAGGTTTGGCCACTCTACAACACTCACTGAACCCTGGCACCTCCAGGGCATCTCAAGAAGCAGGCACTGATCTAGGGAAAGACCAGAACTCCAGGTTGGGAGCCCTCTCCACAGCACCTCACAGCTGTAGAGCCAGGCACAACCCATTCCAGACACCACGATCTGGCAGGAGGAGTCACTAGACTGCTTAGCTGGCCACACAGGTTCACAGCAGGCCCTGAAGCCCAGATGCTCTTGGCAACATGGGACTGACTCTAAGTCTGGGCTTTGCTGCAGCTTGGTTGTAAGGATTTAAACTTTTATTTGTGTTCTTGAAAGACTGACTCCCACTTTTTCTTTACTAGTTTTCAGAACACCTAGCTGGAGCCAGACTTGGTTGTTCACACCTGTCAGCTCCAAATTTACAAAGCTGAAGCAGGAAGATGGCCATGAGTTCAAGGCCAGCCTAGACTACACCGTGAGACTCTTCCTCAAAAAATCCAAAATCAAAATCAGTTGGATTTTTAGGGAAAAGAGTCAATAGAATGTGTACGATTTTTTATGTACACACGTTTGCACAAGTATGCAAATGTGTTCATGCATGCCTATGTGCATATGTGTATATTATGAGCTGTATACATTCATATGTGTGTGTGCTGTAATCTGTATACCATAGTGCATGTCTATATGTGTGTTCACAAATGCATGCCTATGTACCTGCCTGTGTGTGTGCTCTATGATGTATATACATTCTTTGTGTTTCTGTGTGTATATTTGTATGTGCTATAGTCTGGATACACTCATGCATGTGTGTGTGTGTGTGTGTGTGTGTGTGTGTGTGTGTGTGTGTGTTATAGTCTACATATACTCATGTATGTGTGTGTGCATGCATATTTATGAATGCATGCCTCTGTGCCTATATGTGTGTGCTATGATCTGTATATACCGTGTGTGTGTGTGTGTGTGTGTGTGTGTGTGTGTGTGTGTGTGTGTGTGCACAGGTGCATGGGGAGATTTATTTCAAGCAGCTGACTCATGTGACTCCAGCACTAGCAGGAGGGCTGGGATGGAAATCCTGGAAGAGCTGAGGTTACAGTCTGGAGTCAGAAGGTAGAACTCCCTCCTCTAGAGGTCTCTGTCATTTCCCCTGAGGCCTTCAACTGATGGTATGAGGCCACTCACAGTACAGAGGGACACCTGCTTTACTCAAGAGATTACTGAATCAAGTGTTGATAATGTTTTTAAAACATCTCCACAGCAATGTCAAACCACTGTCTGATCCAATATGTGGGTACCATCTTCATCCCTGACAGACATCACCAGATGATGAGTAGGGGTCTGCTCTGAACTCCCTAAGGCCTGGGACTTGCATGTCCATCTCCCTAGGAGTTCAGGTAAGTGGAGAGGTGCTGTGGGATGTTCTGTATGTCAAATGTGTTGCTGATTGGTCAATAAATAAAACACTGATTGGCCAGTAGCCAGACAGGAAGTATAGGCGGGACTAACAGAGAGGAGAACTGAGAGAAAAGGAAGGCGAAGGGAGACACTGCCAGCCGCCGCCATGACAAGCAGCATGTGAAGATGCCAGTATGTAGCTGGAGTATTCGTGCCTGGCCCACAGTCAGGACAAATCTCTGTCATCTGCCAGTCCCACAGCCGCTCAGACCCAACCAAGTAAACACAGAGACTTATATTGGTTACAAACTGTATGTCCCTGCCTGGCTTCTAGCTATCTAGTTCTTACATCTTAAATTAATCCATTTCTATAAATCTATATCTTGCCACGTGGCTCATGGATTACCGGCGTCTTCACATGCTGCTTGTCATGGCGGCGGCTGGCAGTGTCTCTCTGACTCAGCCTTCCACTTCCCAGAATTCTCCTCTCTCCTTGTCCCACCTATATTTCCTGCCTGGCCACTGGCCAATCAGTGTTTTATTTATACAGAATGATATCCACAGCACCGGTAAGCCATGAGCCATGTGGCAAGGTATAGATTTATAGAAATGGATTAATTTAAGATATAAGAACAGTTAGCAAGAAGCCTGCCATGGCCATACAGTCTGTAAGCAATATAAGTCTCTGTGTTTACTTGGTTGGGTCTGAGCAGCTGTGGTGGGACTGGCGGGTGACAGAGATTTGTCCTGACTGTGGGCCAGGCAGGAAAACTCAAGCTACAGAGAGGGGTCTAGTTTCTTTAAAAAAAAAAAAAAAAAAAAGGCAATGCTGTGGCAAATAAAGAAATAAATAGCAGACAATTAATAAAGTGCGGCTATTAACATTTATCCCCTCCAGGCATGGGCAGGTAGCTTGAGCTGGAGACCCTGGAGCTGCAGAGGCAGAAGAACCTACTGTTTGGCCAAGAGGACTCAGGGCATCTTTCAAGGAGAGGTTGTGAAGATACTTGATTTTCCCTGAGGACTGGGAATGTCCTGGAAATGCGATGGCCATGTGGCCAGCTGAAGGCAGATGTAGAGCTGAAGCAGGGCCTATGTGGGCTTGATCTAAGGTAATGAACATTCAGCCTCACTACCATTCCCTCAAAAAAAAAAAAAAAGCTCACCAGTCTTGTGGGAAAAAACCTGAGTCAGGGCCCTTCCCTGGGGATAGAAGGGAAGCGGTAACATCACATCAGACCCCACAGAGGTCATTGTGGAGGTATGATCGATTTATCCTTGGCACGGGCTTCTATTAAGAGTGAAACCTTTGGCTGCTGAATCTGAATCCTCACCTCCACCCCCTACCCACACATACTACATTCCTACCTTATTGCCCAAACTACCAGAGGAGAAGCAGGGAGTCCCTGCTGTGTGGACAGCCTGGCCTGGGCTGGAGGGGTGAGAGGAAGGTGGAGCAGGCTGCTGACTGGACCTGAACAGGTACACTTACCTGCTCAGGGGGACAATAGAGAGCCAGGCCTGAAGTCTGACTGCTCAGCCTCCTGAGCACCCTCAATAAGGGATAGGGGTCCACGGAGCCTATGACAAAGCTATTCCACCAAGGATGTGCCCTGAGAGAGGCAAGGAGAGTGGGTATGTCCTCGGAGCCAAGAACTTGTGTCTCTGAGTATTTGGACAGAGGGCCAGGGTTCTTAATCTGTGAGACACACAGGGGACCACTGCCTTCTTGGTAGTCTGCCTAAGGTCCTACAGTGGGCCAGGCTACCCTGGGATCAACATTACCTTAGAAGGTCCTCATGCTGTCTGAGCTCAGGAGCCTTGTATCCGGCCTCATCTCCAGCTTTGTCTTTAATGCCCTTTCTCTTCCCTGGCTAATATACAGACTGGGCCCTGTCTTGGCCTGGTAGATAGATTCTGAGTCTCCTGACTGCCAAAGCCCTTCATTCACAGGAGGTTTTGGGTGACAGAGCAAGGGGACTGGGGCCACTTAGGATGCCCATCTTTCTGCTAGAAGGGGACTGGGACAGTGTGTGCCCCTAGTTTCCACTACATAGAAGAAAGAGACACTGTGCCCCACACAATGCCCCGAGCAGAGCTTTGGTAAAAGTGTGAGGTTCTGAAGGGAGCTTCCTGCTAGTCACCCTGTCCCTGGCTGCTATGCGGGGAGCCAAGCAGCTGACTTAGTGCCGGCTGACAGAGCCCCAGCTCTTCCTCAGAACAGTTTTTAGCCTAGAAATGATCAGTGCCCTTCGCCCAGCCTCAGAGGGGACCCCTGCAAGGACAGTTGATTTGGAAGTGCTGTCTGCCCCTACCCACTGGCGTGGTTCTGCCTGGGACTGTTGCTGTTCTATCCTAGGATCTCTCTCCTTCCAACTTCCAGCTAGGGGCTTCTGAGTCATGGACTATCACAACCCAATCTCTCTGGCCAGTTCTTGGTTCTAAGCAGAAACAAGCAGGCACAGTGGGTCAGCAGGGTGGGCTGGGGATGCCTTTCGTTAGCTATCCCTAAGATGAGCCTGTCCTGAGCACAGGATTTTCTGTTTATCATCCTTACCCCCTACATGCATCGGCTAGAGCTGATATTTGAGGTTGTTATAGAACCTCACTTCCTCTTCTCTGATTTATGCTCCTCAGGATGAGTTTTATAGGAAACAGTCTCTGAGCTCCTGTGAGATAAGAGGCAGCCCCTGCTCCTTCGAGACTGAGCCACTTTCCCCACCCCTCATAGATCTTCACACTTGGCTCAGGAGCACAACCTCCCACACTGCTGCCTCTGCCTATCAGCCTCAGCCTGAGGTGTAAGAGTGAATGAAGGTTAAGACTCTCTGCAGGGGTAGCTGTCAGGGATGTGCCTCCCCCTTGTTGTATAACAGTTTCCTCTGAGATTGAAACATTTCATCCTGCAGAGAAGCCCTTAAACAGGAAGGTAAACAAAGGAGCTCCAGGAAGTCCCTGAAACTGACCAGACTCACTAAGCCCCACCCTGACAGAGGAAGAAACAAAGACTGCTGAGAGTCACCCTCAGATGAAAAGAGCCAAGCTTGCAAAGAAGATTTTGGAGACCAGACAGCTGCCTGGAAGAAGCAAAAACCAGTTCAGTTGCCAGGAAGAAGTTTAGGTCAACTTAGTCACTTGGAAAGGACACTCTCCAACCTGTTGAGCTGCCTACAGGCTGTGCAGTGTACTCCAGGTTCCCAGCTTTTGTGATCTGTCACCCTTGCTGGGATGGGTTTTAGTGATAGAGCTGTCTTTGAGTCATTTCTGCCCCTATAAGTAACCCCTCGCCTATATTTCTGTAAGTAACCCCAATAAAATTCATGGTTCACCAAGTTGGTCTTTGGTGGTATCAGTACTTTGGTCTGTCGTGGGATCCCTTTCTGGGGCGAGTAGACCTGTATATAGCATCTTCCCAGGAAAAGTTTTGTCACACAACATCCTTCCCCTGTGTGGGCTACTTCCTGCTGACCATGGATAGTACCTGGAGATGGTTGGAGTCTTCTTTTCTGACAGGGTTCAACGAGGACACTGCCCTTCCTCTGTCTGCCTCTTCACCTCACACCTTCCCAGAAGCCTCTCACTCCAAAGGCTAGTGAGCTCCTTTAGGCAATGTGAGCACATCCTCTGGACCCTTCATTCCCAATACTAGGAGGTATTCACACTGCTCCCAGCCCTGACTGGCTCTAAGATGCCCTGGGCAATGAAACAGGCATAGTCATGCTTTTCCAGCTCACATGTGTGTCAGCTCTGCTTGGTGAATCTTCAATGACAGCCAGGTTGTCAGCACCTGGGGTGAGCTGGCCCCTGTGGGAATCTCTAACACCCGCTGCCAGACACAGAGCATGTCACCCACCACGCAATCCTAGTGCAAAGAAAGAGAGCAAAAGCATCGCTGTCCCCTCCCCCTCCACACCATGCACAGGGTTTGTGTGTGAAATGTCCCTCTTTAACTGGGGGAAAGAGGAGAAGACTCTAGAAGAGACCTCCTGCCTTCCCTGAGGCACTGGGGTGGCTGTGGGGCCAGCCTGGCTGCAAGAGTAGGCCAGACCTCCCAGCAGGCTGCTCTTCCAAGGAAGACTCTGCAGTTCGTGTCCAGCACTCACCCATCCTCCCGCCTGTAATTGGGCCTGAGGATTTCACACTCTGGAGCCCGGATGGTGCTTGTTTTGGCTGGCCCAGTGCAGGCAGCCCATCCTCACAGACCCTGGGTTGCATAATGGTGAGGTATCTGCTTACGCTGGCTCCCTCCTTGCAGCAAGGTCTGGGCAGCCTCGTTGGGTGGAGCGGCCTCCCTGGGAGGTGCCCAGCCCCATCAGGCTCGGGGTAGGGGCTCCAGGAGCCAAGCAGCCACCTCTGGCCAGAGTTGGCCCTTATGGATGTAGGCGGGCGAGGGGCTGCCTCCACCCACTGATCACATCTCTTCCCAGCCTCAGCGTCATCGTTGGCTCTGCCGGAGCACTGTGGGCCCTGGGTCAAGAGACAACAGTGTGTGTGTGTGTGTGTGTGTGTGTGTGTCGGGGGGTGGGGGGGTTGGCAGGTCCAGGAAATGACCTGATGGGTGCCCTTGTTACTTCCCCAGGCCCCTAAAGGAACCTTGGGAGCAGCATCTGGCTCCCTGGTCCCTTTGGGCCCCTGGACCCAGCCCAGCTGGCCCAGGTGTGAAGATGTCCCAGTGTACAGGGCCCTCACGGCCCAGCATCTGCCGCCAAAAGGTGGAGCCAGAGAAATAGGAGATTTGAATAATGGGAGAAAATTATTATGTCTTCGTGTGAGCTGGAGCCCAGCCCTCCTCCCCATGGGTGTGATAACTGGGGACGTCTTACGTTTCTCCTGCTCAGAGCCAAGGCCAGCCATGACAATACTCACATTGTTTCCTGTGCTGGGGTATTGTTATCCGATGACAGTGCCTTGAAACCCTGCTACAGAGCACAGGATTAACGCAGGAAACCATGGGCATCTGTAGGAAAGACCAAGCTGGAGGGGGTGAGTACAAAGCCAGCAGGGAATGATGGTTTCATACAAGTGGCCTGATGACAGACAACCAGGTCCACAGCTGGTAAGGGCCAGGCAGGAGGGAGCTGCCAGCACCCCTGGCACCCGGGTCGCCAGTTTCTGTGGACTCCAGAGGTTTCTTCCTGTGACACAGCAAGGCTGGAACTGGCTTTGGTTTCTTACCTGGAGCCAGGTGAGGGGATGATCCCTGCTAACTGAGCTGTTGGACCTGCCTCCAGAGGCTGGGAGCAGTCCTGATGCTCGGGTCCTGTCTCTGAACAAAGAAAGTTTTCCAGTATGTAGAGGTCCAGGAAGCCCATCCATAACCCCACACAGGAGGACACCAACCAACCAGCTCAGTATCCAGAGACCCAGTCAACCCCGGGGCAGCCCATCATCCCCTCGAGACTGCTGGCCATCTGTAAACAATCATCATGGATAGGGATGGAAAGTGCTGGCCCCCAGGGCCATGGTTCCTCCTGCAGCCAAGGCCGCCTGGGAACAGCTGTTTCTTACATCTTAGAAAGAATGGAAGCCACCTCCGAGTCAGCAAGGTTGTCTTAGAAGACACAGCCCTGGGGAGAGGCCCTGGCCAAGTGTATGCTGGGCCCTCAAGATGGCCTGGCTTCCCAGTACCCCCGACTCTGATCTTCTCTAGTGGATTATCAAGCACCAGACTTAACTCTTAAGCAGCTCCCTCATGAGAATTAGATGGGCTGTGTGTCTAGATTCATTGGTTTCTAGGACTCCTGTGCTAGCACAGAGGACCAGGATCCTGGAAGTCCCCAGAATCCTGCCCAGCCCTACTGTCCTGGAGAAAAGGGAGCTGTGGAAGGGCACAGGTGTGCACTTGGAGCCGGAGGCTCTTCCTACCCTGTGGCTCAAGGGAGCACAGAAAAGGAAAGAGTAGCTGGCTGCTCAGACTCATACCCTGGACCAACCCCCTGGTGGGCACACCATCTCTTTCTCACACACTTCAGCCCCTGGGAACATCCCATTGGGATATTAAAACTTCATAGGAGGCCAAGGCCCGGAGCCAGAAGAAATTCACACCTGGGGCTCTTTGGTTCTCACAGCACACATCTGGACAGCATCTGGTCCTCACAGGTGTGCAGAGTCTGAAACCCACGGGCACCAGCACTACACAGGAAAGGGCCGAAGACCAACTGAGGGCCGTGGAATTCCTGCTCCGCACTTCCCAGGTCTTGTTGCCAGCCAGCCTTGCTCACTGGCCTCCTGGCTTACTTCTCCCCATCTTCAAAACGTTTTCTGCTTCCTGGGGGCCCACAGCTGACACATCCATTCCTTGAACTGGTAGATTTCCTTTGAGCGATGTGAGATGATAATGTGAACAAATAAATGAGTGGGCGAGTGAGACGATAGATTTGTGAATTAGAGTAAGTGAGTGAATGGATGAGTGAGTGAGGGAGGGAATGCATGGGCCAGGCTTCCTAGCATGTGTATCCTGGGAGGATGAAGTCCCCCTGGGTGGAAGATAGTTCTTGGGGGAATAATAACAGGTGAACCACCCTAGATGTCATAACAAAGTACCACAACCAGGCAGATTCACATATCAGAATTTCCTGACCCATGAGAAGGCTGATGTCAAGCAGTCACCTGGCTTGTTTCTTCTGGGGGCTCTGGGAAGGATGCTTCTGGCCTGGTGTAGCTTCTGGTGGCTATAGGCTTTGACCTCTTTGTATGGTGCTGTGTCCTTCTGCAGGATTCTTGCACACCCACTGGCAGACTGTCCTTGTCGTGGTTATCAACTGGCACCTGCAGTCCTGCACCCAGCCCGCCCTGGGTGAAGTGGCAGGAGCATCTGACCGATCTCCATCTCCCTTCTGAACCCAGGTTATCATGGAGGTGCAGTGGCAGAGCCAGCCCCAGCCTTAGCAACCCAGAGCCACTCGAGACAAGTAACTAAACACATTGTGATATTCAGATGGAGGCTGTGCTGTGCAATGGCCCATGATTGATGGAATATAGGGGATACCTTGGCCAGATCCTTGCTTTAATTGTGCTTAGTCTCCAGCATGAGTCTGGGCCTCTGAGTCTCCTAGGGAACATGCTCCTGACAGTTCTACTTGCCAAATCCTGAGTTGTCCTCTAGAGGAGCAGCTGAGATTTGAGGTGCTTTGAGTCTAGCTCCAAGGCAGAATACACTGTAGAGTATAGGACACTGGATGCTGTCCACACATGGAATACCTTCTCATTCAAATATTGTCCTCCTTCCTGCCTGTGCCTGGAATACCACATCAGCTAGTCTGACTTAAGGCTTATTCATGTGAACAGTCAATTACTATATTGGCCCCTACAAGTCCTCTTCTGCAGTGTTTCCCCTGTCTTTAGAGAACTCCTTTTAAGATGGATGATACATGTGCAAATGAGCATCAGTTTACTATGCCTGGGAGAACATTACAGTTTTCTTTTAAAAAGGGAGTAATGTTACTTTGAAGATAGCCCAGTCAGTAAAGTTGTTTATACACAAGTATGAGAACTCAAATTCAATCCCCAGTACCCACACAAAAGTCAGACACAGAGGGACTAGAGAGATGTCCCAGTAGTTAAGAGTACTAGCTACCCTTCCAGAGGACATGGCTTCAATTCCCAGTACCAACATAGTTGTGGAGTAGTTTCCTGGAGACTGAAATATTTTATCCTTCAGGGAAGCCCCTTAAACAGGAAGGTAAACAAAGGAGCTCCAGGAAGTCCCTGAAACTGACCAGACTCACTAAGCCCCACCCTGACAGAGGAAGAAACAAAGACTGCTGAGAGTCACCCTCAGATGAAAAGAGCCAAGCTTGCAAAGAAGATTTTGGAGACCAGACAGCTGCCTGGAAGAAGCAAAAACCAGTTCAGTTGCCAGGAAGAAGTTTAGGTCAACTTAGTCACTTGGAAAGGACACTCTCCAACCTGTTGAGCTGCCTACAGGCTGTGCAGTGTACTCCAGGTTCCCAGCTTTTGTGATCTGTCACCCTTGCTGGGATGGGCTTTAGTGATAGAGCTGTCTTTGAGTCATTTCTGCCCCTGTAAGTAACCCCTCACCTATATTTCTGTAAGTAACCCCAATAAAATTCATGGTTCACCAAGTTGGTCTTTGGTGGTATCAGTACTTTGGTCTGTCGTGGGATCCCTTTCTGGGGCGAGTAGACCTGTATATAGCATCTTCCCAGGAAAAGTTTTGTCACACAACATTGGTGTCTCACAACTCATAACTCCAGTTCCAGGGGATCTGACACCCTCTTCTGAACTTCTCCTGCATCAGGCACAGATGTGATACTCATCATACCTGCAAACAAAACACTCACACATATACATATATCTAAAAAATATATCT